AGTACATACCGACCTAGGTTCAGGACCGGGTCAAAGTTGACAGCATAATGCATAGTAAACTGACAGCATGAAGAACAGTAAATAAGCCCCCTTTTGTCAAGGTAAGGGGCAGTAACCAGATAACAGAGGGTGGCAACCTGATACATCAGTGATGTGTGGCTTGTCTGTACCTGTTTAAAAGTGTACCTCAAAGAAGAGAGCTATATATGCATCAGTAAGAGCCTCTTCCTTATATTAATTTTGATGCAGCTGTTTCTTCTACCCTGTCTGCTAAGAGTTGAAATCACAGGAAGCTGAAATCACTTGAGACTAATGAGCAGAAGTCACAACCAAGAGTGGATAGCAGCAGATGTTTACTGATGACCAGCAGGGCAGTGGCAGAGAGATGTGACAAGAAGCCAGTTGGGCACCACAGAGAGATTCGATGCACAGCCAGCAGGGCTGCGGGGGAGAGGCATAACCGAGCAACCAGCAGGGCAGCAGAAGACAGCAGTGAGTAGTGGATGACAAACAACCCACCGAAAGAGTAAGATGCCTCTTTACCTTCCGCCACCCAGGATTGGAGGTGAACTCTTCAGATGCACCTCTGAATTCTGGGTCTGTTATGACCAAGGGTAACGGCCGAGGGTACAGTGTTTGGCATGTGAGGGGGACATTTAAATTACTCAACTTAAGAACCTTAATCATAGAATACTAAAACTAGAAGTGACCTCAAAAGATCATCAAGTCCTGTCTCCTGCCCTCGTGTCAAGACCAAGCACCATCTAGACCATCGTTGATAGATATGTCTAGTATGCTCTTAAATATCTCCAGTGATGGATGTTCCACAACTTCCCTAGGCAATTTATTCCAGTGGTTAACTGACAGTTGGGATGTTTTTCCCAATGTCCAATCTAAAACTCCCTTGCTGCAATTTAAGCCCATTGCTTCTTGTCCGATCAGCAGAGGTCAAGAAGAACAATTTTTCTCCTTCCTCCTTGTAATGCTCGTTTGGATATTTGAAAACTACTATCATGTCCCCTTTCAGTCTTCTCTTTTCTAAACTAAATAAGCCCAGTTTTTAGTCTTCCCTTATAGGCCATGTTTTCCAGTCCTTTAATCATTTTTGTTGCTTGTCTCTGGACCTTATCCAATTTCTCCACATCTTTCCTGAGATGTGGTGCCCAGAACTGGACACATAACCGAGGCATAATTAGTGCAGAGTAGAGTGGAAGAAACACTTTTCATATCTTGCTCGCAACACTCCTGTTAATGCATCCCAGAATCATGTTTCCTTACTTTGCAACCGTGTCACACTGTTAACTCATATTTAGCTTGTGGTCCACTATGACCTCTAGCTCTCTTTCTGCAGTACAGGCAGTCCCCGGGTTACGTACAAGATAGGGACTGTAGGTTTGTTCTTAAGTTGAATCTGTATGTAAGTCGGAACTGGCGTCCAGATTCAGCCGCT